GAATAGTTTTGATTGTCAATTTTTGTAGTTGCCAATTTATTTATGTCATTTTTTTTTGCCGAATTGTTTATTTTTTGTCGAATGTTACACGCGTGGTAGTATTTTTGCTAAATGTTATACGAGTGGTAGTATGCTAAATAATTTTTTTTCGACTAGTGTAAGGGATCTATTCTAGAATAATACTCATCAATAATAAAGAAGATATAAGAAAACAAGCTAGAACTAATAATGGATCTCTAAAGTATTTAGCATATAAAATTTTGCAGATTACTTATGTCCTTTTTTGAGGGACAAAATTTATAGCTCTTCACTTTAATAGGGACAAAAGTCAAGAAATACTATAAATCAATGATTTGGATAACAGAGAACAATTGGGATTAGTTTTTTTATAGTTATTAATTTAAAAATTTTAATGTATTCTAGTGAGTGACATTTAAATTTTGTCCCTGCCTTCTCTTTAAGGACCTATTTTTAGCTAGGACAGCTCATAAGGTCTTAGAAAAAAGATTGGCTAAAGTGAAGTTTAGAATACCTAGTACTCAATCTTAACCTTGATAAAAGGTAAAAACTTTAAGTAATCACAAAGAGCAATAATTAGTATCAACAACTTATTTAAGGAAAGTTGATTTTAGATAACAATAAAAAATATATTAAAATAGATTATTTCAAATATAATAGCTCCAAGAAAAATATAGAATCAAACCTGATGTGATATCAGGGCTACCTAGAAGATATTAAGGCTGAAAACTAATGTATAGTAGAATCAAATATAAAACAAACATATATGGTTCCCTATCTTAATGCTAGAAAATTTACAGGGAGAGTTCAACTTTTAAAAATTCCTTGTTCTAAAATGCCCTAGAGAGAACAATAAATAGAACAATTCATATAAACTTAGTAACTACACAATGTAATAGAAAATAATTAAAAAAAGTAGAGATAGAGGACTGGAAGAAGAAGTTCATTAAAGAGAATATTAAAGAAAACATATATCAAACTCATTTAATTGAAATACTTAAGCATAATAAAGAAATAATAGCATTAACACAATGATTTTTTACTCTGATGGATCTCTTGTTGATTATAGAAATAAAAATATGAAAATGGGTGCAGCATGGTTATAAATTGAAAAAGCAGAAAGGGAAAGCAAGTTCTAAGTATTGACCTTTATATACAAGAGTAGAACTAGTTACAATAGTTACTATACTACTAGTAATATCAATTAATAGCAAGGTCAAGATCTATACAAATAGTCAAACCTGCATATTCAAATAGAAAACTATAAAAAAAAGGTATCTCAAAAAAAACCTACAAAAGATGGTCAAAGAAATAAAATTAATTTTTATGGACATGAATATTGAGCCTGGTTAAGAAAAAAAAAATAGATTTAAATCTTATCAAGGTTAAAGTACGCTTCAATATTCAATATAATGAGAAAGTAGATACTTTAGCCAAAGAAGTGTTAAAGTTTCCAACAATAGAATGGCAAGATCTGATCTTATCTAAAATTATTACTAAAATCAAATGGCAAGATATAATGCTAAATGCTCCAATAAGACAGTTTGTTAAAAAAACCAATGCAAAAATAATGACACACTAATGGATAACCTAAAACAGAATAGACAAAAAATGGAGTTATCAATCCAAGGTTAATATAGAATATATGGGACCTAGTTTAGGAACAAATAAATAATGGGCATATATGAAATACCTATTTCAAAAAATCATAAAAAAAAGTTTTTTTGTTAAGATAACTAGTAATGGGCTATCCATGTTAACAATGCTAGTCATAAGAAGACAAGATTTATATAAACAAGTAAAATATCTCACATATGGATAACAAGAAGAAATAATAGAACACTTGTTAGAATGTCCAGCATACAAAATTCAGTGTCAAGAAGCCTGGCAGAAGGTATGGAAAATATAATGCAAGGTTTCAACAATCTTCTGACAGATAAAAAAAAGAGTCAGAAGAAAAAGAGATAATTTTGATAGTTAATAATAGAATAGAAAGAGAAGAAATCGATAAGAAAATAACTTGACTAGTAGAAAAAATCTTAAACAATTGATCAGGATATACTTAGCTTCTGCATAGAATTAATTGAAAAAGATCTAATAGATAAAATAGTAGACTTAAAGTACTATAGAAAGAGAATTGGTAAAGAAGCAAGAAAGTGGATAATAAAGATGCAAAAGAAAATATATAACCACTTCAGAAAGAAAATTTGGAACATTAAATATAAAAAGGTGATAAAGTAGGAATGGATGTTGGAAATTAATAGAGATAACAAGATCAAAAGGATAATATATCTATAGAGTCTAAAAAATATGACCAAGATACAAGGAAATCAGTCATATCAAGTACTATTAAGAGAAATGAATTAGAAAACATAATGCTTAAATAGGTCCTATAAGATAGAATAAAGTATGAGATGAAATGGTTGGATTTTAATCTTTGTCAAAACTTAAAAGAATGATCTACAATAGTAATTTGCAGGCAATGATATTAGAAGTTGAAAGGGTGTTTACCTAAACTTCTAATAAAGTGATAAATTACTTTCAAAGTTGTACTTAGAAAGATAAAACAATCAAGATGAGTGGATTAGTTAAAGAATTAACTTTAGTATCTTATGTTATATATATAGTTTACAAATGTTTAATAAAACATATATAACTAGTTTGATAGAGAGAAAAAAAAATATGTTTTAAATAGAAATGAATAATTGATTTTTATTCACAAAAATTAAGTTAATAATAATCATAAACATGCTTTTATATTTCTATTGACAATGCTATTGAAATTTATATAAATAGTTAAACTTATATTTTCAAATAAAAAAAGATAAAAAAAGGAAATTCAAAGAGAATACACAAAAGATAACTAAAAGAAAAAAATTGATTTCTTTGAATATAAATAGTTGAATTAATAAAAAAAAGAATGTAGACTTGAAGTTTATCAAAGTCAGATATATTTAACTAATTTTTATAATAAAAAAACAAATACTCTAGTCAAAAAAATCTTAAAATTTCCACCAATAAAATAGAAAAATCTTAAAACTTCCACCAATAAAATAAAAAAATCTTATCTTATATAAAATTATTATAAAAATAAAGTAATAAAATATAAACTTAGATAATTCAATTAAACAATTTATTAAAAATATTAATATTAAAACAATGGTATATTAATAATATTATAAAATAAAGTAGAGAAAAAATAAAACTATCAAGTTTTAAAATAATAAATCCATATATAGAATTTAGTATAGAAAAAAATAAAAGATATATATGTGGAATATATATCAAACAATATTATTAAAAAAGATTTTTTATCAAATTTATCAATGAATTACTAATCTTAAGTAAACTAGTTATAAAAAGACTTAATCTTTATAAGTAAATAAATATATTGTGCATAGTCAACAAGATGAAATAATAGAATACTTGCTAAAATGTTTAGTCTATAAGAATCAAATATAAAAAGTATATAATAAAAAAATAAAAAAAAATCCTTAAAGATTTTAAAGAATTTTTATAAAAATAAAAAAAAAGTTAAAGAAAAAAATATCAGATTGATCATAAATGATTATAAAGAACTGGAATAGCTTAACATGTAAATTTTCAAACTAATAAAACAGATCTTAAAAACTAGTCAAAATACTTTAAGTTTTTATGATAATTTTATTAAAAGTGATTCTATTCAAAAAATGGTAGATATGAAATATTATGAAAAATAAATAGAAAAAGAAACAAGTAGATAGATAATAAAAATATAGAAAAGAATCTGAAATAAAAGATATAGAAAAATAATTGAATAGAAACAATCACAAGAGAAGATAAAATTAAAAGATTTTCTTGTCTCCTAGATCCAAACAATATATTTTCAGTGAAAAAGAAGTCATTATCAGAAGAAAAAAATTTAGAAGATAGAAGTCTCAAGAAATTTTAATAAAAAGAGTCAAATATGAAATGAAGTAATTGGATTTTAAACTTATTAGAACCTCGCAAAGTCTATAGTGGTGATCTGCAGGCAAGAAAGTTATACAGTATCTGAACTATTAACAGAGCAATAAATTACTTTCAAAGTTATGCTTAAAATTTTAAAAAAATATAAAATAGAGATAAGTGAGTTAGATAGAAATTTAGCTATAGTGAAACATTTTAAAATGTAAAGCATACATATCTAAGTTTGACTAAGGGTTAAAAAAAAAAAAGAAAAGTATTATAAGAACATCTTTTATCGATGTTAATTAAAATGTAATATTATTATTGCTATATTACAGTATATACTGTATATTGTTATTTATTTTATGAGATTTATTTACAAAATGACTTTTAAAGCTAGCAAAAAAAATTGGCGCAAATGATTGCAGAATAAAGACAGATTAGGTTAGCACGTAAATGCATACACAAGGCGCATCCGATTTTACGATATTTTCGTCCATACTAACGCCAATCATAATTAAAACCGGATGCAAAGCTATCATATTTCAAATATGTTATATTTTAATTATTTATGTATGTTTGGTCTTTAAAATGGATTATTGCAAGATTTCATCAATCGCCCCAATTTTCCACCATAGATTACCCCAAAATGCGTCCATTCCTATCCTTAAAACCGAAAACCTTTTTTATCATTATTTACAAGAAAGCGGTAAAGCTAGAGAAAAGCTAATGAATGTAATGCAAGTGAATTATGTTTTAAAAATGTTTCCCGGCACGTCACAACCTTTCAACTCTCAATCACCAACGTCTTTCCTACCCATCGGTTACACCGTATCTCGCCCATAATGAAATGAGCCACATCAGCTCTCGATATCTTTATGGAGCTCCTTTTCGTGGTTGTCCTGCTATCCTTCTCGATCCTCCGCACGTCATCGTGCTCCATTACCTTATAAGTTTCGGTCAGTGTACCATTGGTCAATCGTCCCGGCCGAATTATCGTGTAATCAATAAAATCGTTGTTCTCCATGATTATCCGTTCTTGCAATTCTTTGTCGTTGAGGACCTTATTTGAGAACAATTTACCAAAAAGTTTGTGCCAACCTTTTGAAATCACAGGGATCTGTGAAACGGTTGGTGATGTTGGACGATCCTCGGTATCGCACCTAATTTCACCACTGCTGGAACTCGAATTATTTGAATTGGTCGAATTATCCACACCACTAATCGTCCCTATACCTTGCATTGTGACGGCAATCAATCTTCTAACTTTATTTTCGATCATACTTTCAATGATCATTTTCTGGCTTCGAGAACATATATCGGTATTGTTGCCGAATAGGGGTTGAGGACCAATACAATTTATCACAGCATCTTGACCCTCAATTACTTTGTCCAAGTCCTGTCGATCAAACACGGATCCGACCATTATCACGAGATTTGGATTTCGGAGCTGGTGGCGAGTGAATGGAAGATTCAAATCTGAACGAACTAATGCGGTCACGTGGTAGGATGATTCAAGAGCTTGATTTACTATTTGGATACCTAGCTGACCTGTTGCCCCTAGAACTGCAAAGATTAGAATGGTTAACATTATTGAATATTATTTTTAGATGACAGGTTGCACTATTATATCAAGTATCAACCTAGTATATGTTTTCCTCGAGTGCAACCACTGGGATCAATGTCATAGATCATGTGCGTCGAGTATTCGTCTGCCACCTCGGAAATGTCATCACCATTGGAAACCAGAGTGAAATATGGACTATGGGGTGACAAGCAGACGAACGGTGATGTCGGTGACGTTGGCGACGTCAAAGGACGAGGTATGTTAGCGGGTTTGGTTACTATATTGATTGTATTTTTTCTTTCGGTAATTGGTCTCTTTATCGAAAAGGAAACGGGCATTTTATCTAAAATATGGGAAATTTCAAAACGAGAGCTAGTGTTTATAGTGTTACAGATATAAAATTTGTGAAAGAAAGAAGTGCCTTCAGAAGACAGGTGCGTTTGACGTATATATACTTTTTCTGGAAAATTAAAAGGGAAAGAAAAAGAGGAGATAAGTCAAAAACATTAAATAATGGAATTTTGAACGGGCCGTTGGGATCACGAGATGACAAGACGAGGTTGCGTTGATGTAAGAGCATTTACCTTGATGCGTATAAATTTGGCAACAAAATAAGAACTAAATTTGGGATTAGGCAGTAAGAAAATCAACTAAAATTCGGGTTGTCGGTTTAGAATGAAAGTTTTTTTTGGTGAAAGAATTCCGTTGAAAATAATTAATCAATGATGTCCTTTCAGGCCTGCTTTCATGTGTTTCCGAGATCTTGGTAATTCTTGGAAAGTCTCTTTCGCTTGGCAGTACGAACAAATAAGAACAAAAAAAAAAAAAAAAAAACAGTTAAAAAAAAGAAAGAAAGAAAGAAATTGAAAAAAAGAAAAAAAAAATTATTTTTTTTTAAAGAACAATGAAGAGGTGAGAAGGACCGAATGCACAAGGATTGATGAAGAGACGAGTATTGAACGCTGTGGATTGTGTAATTATTATGAGACGTCAATGGAGGTTGATCGATACACTAAGCTATGATGAAAAAAAAAAAAAGCATTTGACAAACCAACAACTTACTGCATAAATACAAACGTGTAGTCCTAAAATTTCATATACATACGTACGTATGTGCTTATGCGCGTGCATGTGTGTATATGCACGTTGATAAAACCACAAAAACAAAACTTCGCATTACTGTAGAACGAGTTTTTGAATGTAATGCAAATTCACACTAGAATGATTACGTAACAAAATTTTTAAATTATTGGTACGCAATATAATTCGTTATAGAGCTGGCGGGGAAGTTTAAAATGTGAATGAAAAGTGTAAACATGTACTATTAACCAGAATGTCATTTACAGTAACTTGGTGCTTGTACATTGACATCTAAATTTCGTTCGTTATTAGGAGCAACAATGCATTTCTTAAACAATATCAATGCATAATAATGAATTTTAATGCAATTTCTTATTTCCGTTCCATTTAATGTTAGATGCCCTGCCAAGTTTCGAGATGGAAGCACCAAAAGATGCTCGAGAAACAGTGCAAATGACGAACATTTATACAACGTATTTGGTAATTGGCGGATTCCTCTTGTTACCAAATATATAGCATGATTTATTTCAACCGGTAAACACACTAAGCCTGCTCTAGATTTTTCTTACGTTATTCACCAAGGATATTTATCATTTACAAATATATTCTTTGATTTATTCTTTGGGAAGGGTGGTGCAGAAAGAAATTCGTCTTGTTACATATATATATATACAGTATACTGTATATGCGCACGCAACCCACATACCTATTCGTATAATTTTTTTTTCTTATTGTAGCACGCTAGATTTGTTTTGTGGTCACCTTTTTCTTCCCAAGGATCATATAACGATAAGCAAGAGTCATGCGTTCGGTGTGTATTGGCGTAAGGTTACTCCCATATTTTATTTAAGTTTTTGTATCAACAAGACAAGGCAGGTTTATTGTTTTGTTTCCTACTAACGTATATGATTTGCTATGCCACGTACAGTATCTCAAATATAGCAGCGCACTGTATCACTCTACGTATTTCATGCCCTTGCAGGTGGACACTTTGTGTAACGAATGTATTTCCACCTACGCGCCTATTCACTTATCTGTTATCTGAGAAAAAACATCGTGGTTGCATAGCTCGAATAGTAGTTATTCTGTCGTACCATTGGCGAGAACCAATTTCGTATTTGGTGAATGAAATTGCATCAAAGGTATACGCGTAGTTGCAACCCAGGTACACTCACCTAAAATTTGATCATGGTGGCTATTTTTTTTTTTATTGTGCTCGCACTCGCATGTATAAGAATCAATAAATAAAAAAAACAATAACAACAAAAGATAATGATCTGGCAATGAAATTGTGCAGCTCGTTAAACGTGGCGACCAACGCCTTCGATGATTATTGATACCAAGGAAAAATAGATTTTTCTGTACCTCAGTTTGTATCGATTGGAAAGTAGAAATGAAATAATAATTTGGAATTCTAATTCTATAAGGTTCTGAAGGGATCTGTAATTGAACTACCAATTTGATGGCTAGCCAAAGACAATTAATTCATGGTTACTTAAACGATCCTTTAAATAGACTAAAACACTAACTGCATAATTGAAGAATACAATGAAATCTATAATTGATCACATTAATTGTATTCATTGCTGATTTCAAACCATTGAAAAATATTGACCGTTACATTTATAATAAAGCAACTATTTCTTATATAAAATATATATTTAAAGAACAATGCACATGCATTTATACTTATGATTCATTGTTAACTTCTCATTTGGTTTGTTGTAGAATTAAATTAATATTGTAAAATTTTTTTGTTTAATATTTAATTAAAAAGATGAGATTTAATTATTTACTGCATATATCTTAATTTTATGCCTGATATTGATTTTAATTAAATTAGCTTTCATTTTTTTTTTTAAAAAAAAATAATCATTAAAAAATGTTAATTTTAAAATTATAATAAATACAAAATTAGTTGATAATTTATTATTAATAATTAATAAAAAACACTTTTTTATCAGTTACTTTTGTTAAAATAATGTTTAAAGAGTGTTTTCAAAAAACAGTAAGATAAAAAAAATTTTTTTAAATTAAATCAAAAATTATATGATTAATATTACTATAAAATTTAAATTTTTTATTTACTATACTCAATTAATGTAACCTAATTGAACACTATATTAAACTAAAAAACTTTTCTTTAAATAAATAATTCTTTTTAAAAAAAATAAAGAAAAAAAAAACATTTATTAAGAAAGAATAACTTTAAAGAAGTAAAAAATAAATCAATATAAAAATAATTACTTTTACATAAATAATTTTTAATTGTAATAACTTATAAATATATTATTTATAAAAAATCTTATTAATTATTCACATAAAAAAATATTATAAAAAACTACTCATTTGTGATAACATAACAGTTTCAATTAATAAAATTTCAATTTAAGCCTGTGGCCCAAGAAGCATACCAACAACAACTCAATAAAATGAGTACAACCATGGAAGAGGCAATCAATCTTTTCAAACTTTCGCAACAGACTGCTCTTTTCAGTTCCAAATCCTCGTAATAACATGATGGACATCAATCCAAAAAACTCCTTAGGGAAAAAAAACTGTAGAATAAATGATATGATATTAAACATTCAAACTTCAAACAAATAAGCAGACGGAATATAAACAATACCCAAATCAAGGAAACTATTCATAAACATAAAAAATAGACAATTAACCATCCGATTTGAACAATTGTAACACACAATATAAGAGGAATGGTAGAAGAAAACAAATGCAAGCTTTGGACAGAATACTGTGCAGAAAAACAATGAGAAATCATCATTACCATTGAAACCAACAGGGAACCACACCAGATCAAATACTGAAAACAACAAGGATATCAACTAACAACATCAGAAGACCCCAAGCAGAAGATAGGCCATGGGGTATACATAGCAATATATGATGACATCGCAATCACAATATTCAGGAAACAAGAGATAGCAGGTAGGGCCATAGCGATAGGTATGGCCTTTCCAGGAAAACATAGATTAAGGGTAATGGGAATATATCTGCCACCAGGACACAACAACAAAGAGGATAGAATAAAGATAAAACAATGCATACAATAATGGACTACACAAGTTATCAAGATAGGAATGCATGTAATCATTGGAGAAGACTTCAACTCCACACCAAATTCTGTCATCAATAAACTTCACAAGACAAAAAAGATAAACAACTATAGACCTAAATCTGAGTTTTTGGAATGGCTCATAGCACAGAATTTTAAGGATACTTTCAGACTACACAACCTATCTCAGACAGCATACACATAGAACAACAGAAGAGGAGCACACAGCAGAATCGACCAAATTTGGTATCACCCCCAGAGCACCTGGTACTCGAAAGATGCACAGATAGTAGACCACCCTGACCTCCTGCACAAGAGTGACCATAGAATAATGACTGCCAGAATAGAGATATGGTAAATAGATAGACAAAAGACGCAGAAAATATACATGCGTAATTACCTTTATAATTGGCATAAAATTGACAGCAAACAATGGAAAAAATTCAGCAACACAGTTGAACAGGAACCACAAAGGTGGGACCTTTCACAACACGAGAATATAGATAATCTGTGGCACAGATTCAAACAGGCAATTTTATCAGTCGCAAACAACTACATAAAGAAGTTGAAACCCCAAAAAAGAGACAGAAATACAGGGAAGGCCACAACAATATACAAGAACATCATAAATGTTCAGAGATTAACAGAGATGTTACAGAGGCACATAGACACTCCTAATGAGCAGACCGAGCAACTAATCAGGAAACAGATTTCCAAGATCAAGAAGAACTTCTCAGAATTAGCTGCAGAACTAGAGAAATGGTAAGCGAAACACTTACGTGAATACCAGGTCCACTGGAAAGAAGTGTGTAAATAATACATAATACAATATAAGACAGTAGCCAAAATAGTAACCAGCTTCAAGCAGAAAAAGAAGATGTGACAACACATATAAAGAAGATATCAATAGCTCTAAGACAACAAAAAAATGATGATAAACAGCATACTGAAAAGACCTAACAGATCATAGTTATGGACAAACTTATCATAAAAGAAGACGAACACATAGAAATAATTACAGATCCAGAAGAGATCAAAAGGTGAACCTCTAAACACTTTGCAACGTAGATTTAGTACAGGAGAACCATTCCAATAACAAACTTCCCAAGATGGTCAAGACAATATGCACCAAAGGAAGGGATTCGAGACAGCTGGTATGACAAACTAACAGAGTGAGTCACTACA